ATTCTTAGGACTTCCAAGCATCAGTTGCCTTGTCTGTCAAGTAGAGAGACCATCCTCCCTCCTAAAGTGTAGGAATTGATGCATTCAAACAGTGGTGTTGGCAAAGAATATTGAATACACTGTGGACTGCCGGAAGAACAAACAAATCAGTCTTAGAAGAAATACAACCACAATGCTCCTCAGAAGTGAGAATGGCGAGGCTTCCTCTTACTTATTGTGGACTATCATTAGGAAAGACCAATCTCTAGTAAAAGACTTCATGTTCGGTCAGCAGAAATGAGGAAAACCCTCAATGAGATGTATTGACAATAGCCGCAACAATGGGCTCAAACATACCAGTGATCATGAAGATAGTACAGGACCAGGCAACATCTCCTTCTGTTACACGTATGGTCCCCATGAGATGGAGCCAATTCACGACAACTAACATCAACAAAGTGCAGGAAGGATTAAAGGGGATAATATATTTAAACTCCCTAGTATGCCTGTCACAAAGTATCTGCTTGCTAAATGTTTAGATCCTTCCTTCTTTATTTAAATGGGAAAGTGGCTTTAGATTTACAAAGTAACAACCCAGTGGGGTGGAGTAACTATGTAAACTGAGAACCCCCCCAAAAAGGAGCAAAGAGCAGTTGGGCAGATGATAAAGTCTCATGTTGGTTTGGGGTATTGCTGTTCACCGAGCCTCTCCATGCTCTTTATCCCATATTTCATCCCCACAATAGCCAGGGACACAGCCTGAACTAGTCTAGGCCTCTTGGCTTCAAATACAGTGCTCTTTCTACTGCCCCATGGATGCTCCCAGGCTGCAGAGAAATAGCCCACACAAAGGCCTGGGGTGCTTGGTTTGGGAGGGGGCCCTCCTGGTGCCAGAGCAGGAGCTAAACATTGTTGCCTGTTTCTATTTTAGGAAAACTTCAAGCAGAGTTAGGTGAGTTCCAGGTACCTCCATCCCTCCCTCCTACTCCTCTAGCCTAAGTGAAATGGTCATTTTCTCTGACCATCTTCCCCTCTCTCCCAGTACCCTGTGCTTCTGCAGATGAGAAATTCACAACGTAAAATTCCTGTAACCAGTACCAAATTGTAGTCTTATTTCTCTCCCCTGCATTCAGCCCACGCAGAAGTGAAATGTTACAGTTTCCCTTCCCCCATTCAGTGTCGCTACTAGAAACAATTTTAAAAGTGATTAAATAACAAAGACTCAGA